TGTGCAGAGAACCTTTCATTGTGTCTTTTATTGTTGTTGTTATTAAAGCAATTCATTAATATTTAAATTTGGGCCAAAATTTAATGCAAATTCTAGGCAGGGTTACTCTTTCTGAGAGGATGAAGCCTGGCTAATTTCAGAAAGACGTGTTATATTTATATTTATATTATTTCTGTTTTATGCTATGATGTAGGTACATTATATTGTTTATTATTATGTTGCTATGTAGTAAACTGTCTTGTCAAGGAAGGGTGGTATATAAAGTTCACAAATAAAACAACAGAGCATGCAAATAGCCTAATGGGTGCTAAAGGAGGGGGTAAGTATCTAAAATCTTCATAATACTGAGAAAAGGAAGCAACTGCCAGCATTGCACACAGCACGCAATCTGTTAATTAACAGTAATGGTTTCTTGGAAGCTATTAGAGGATATATACTCTAAGTTCATATTACTGTCAAAACCTACTTTAAACACCCACTTTACAAAATTTAACCAGGAGCTTCACTGTTTGTGTTCTAATATGCAGACAAAGCCCACTTCATTAAGACAAAGTTAAGTTAGAGTTACCTGAATGTCAGCAATAATTCTATTAAAAAATCACATTTTAACAGACCACATATAAAACATAGTGTTGCTTTGTTTTACAGTATCCCTGATAAAGGTTGTAACAAAATGGCATTGGCTGCAATCCTATACACTTTTACCTGGGAGTAAGTCCATTTGAACTCAGTTAGGCTTACTTCAGAGGCAACATGTATAGGATTGAACTGACAGTTACAGTTTCATGCACCGTTTAGTTCTTCATTGTAACTCTAAAAAAACACCCACCAATAGTTAGAGAATGAACAGTCTAGTTAACATTTCAGCATAAGTTTAAATTCTCCTTTTCTCCTAATAGAGTGTGGTGTTATTAGACTGGATAGATTGGCTAAAAATAATAAATTCTGGTTCAAAATGGGAGCTTGGATCATGGTGGCCATGGCAGCGGCAAAATATTAATTGAACCTTCCAAAAAGTACAACCATTTCCACCTGTTCACTTTTGTTTCCTGTTCTTCTCATTTTGCAGATGGAGAGATAATGACTTGTTCATTGGTGCTTAGTGAATTCACCACTTGTTAGATCAGCCTCAAAAGCTGAGCTCTCTAGTCCACTGTTAAGGACAAGCTGTTGGCAAGGGCAAGGCCTTTTCAGTGATGGCCCCACATATTTGGAACTTCCTCCCATGGGTACTACCTTTGGCCCCCTCCTTGATAGCTTTATTTTAAAAATTCTCGACTTCCGGGGTGGCGCCACCGGCAATGGCGGACTCCCTCTGAACTGGAGGGACTAGCTCCGCGGAAAATGGGTCTTCTCCGCTACGGCGAAGCGGGGACCCACTTAAAAATCACAGGCGGATGAAGCCTGTGACCATGGGACTCGGCGGGCACCTTTAGCGCCCCTCCAACCCTCTAAGGAACCCACTAACGGGCTCCGAAGAGAAGAGGGGGAAGTGGCGCGGTGCTGTGAGTCAACTGCTATTTCCGTGGAGTGAAGCCGCATAGCTGTTGCCGGAGAGCGCTGCCTTTTTCCTGGGACAATTTGGACTCTAAAATAAGCACCCGTGAGTACTTAGACTTTGAACAATTGGATATTAAATAAGGACTTGCAAGTAGGAAAGAATCGGACTTTAAAAAATTTACTTGAATTTGGTACGGAACGGGAAGGTCTAAACAGGAAGTCATCCTTCCGTTCTTTTGTAAACAGAATAAAGCAAAGGCAATTTAAACTAGAGCTCAGGAAATCGCCTTTAAAAGATTGGATTTCACCATTTAAAATTGTGGAACCCCCCTTCGACAGCAGGAGAAGGGGGGGGTCTTTTTGGACTGTTTAAAGTGACTTTAAAGTGAAGTAACTTTCCTCCGTCCTGATCCTGGAGTGGGCTGTCAGGACTGACGTGTGAAGTTCATTAACCAAAGACAAGTGTTTTTGACAGATGGCTAAAAGAAGAGAAACCTAGTGATTCCACTGTTCCCTTTCACATTTTAAAGGATTATATATGGACAAAGTATCTTAAAAAAGGAAACTTTGTTGCAAGAATAAATAGAAGTCTTCCCCCTAGGGGGAGTCTGTGAAATTGTAACTGTGAAACTGTAACTAACTCCAGGGAGTCGACAGCTGTTACAGATTACAACCGTGGGAACAAGTATCCGACCTTGTAGGACAATGTATTCAGAAGCCTTGTTGTATGCTCTCTATAAAACAAACGATCTACTGGAACAATTACATGAGAAGGTGAATTGGATGGCGACTTCGACTAGAAATCTTGAACAGGCAGTGGGAAACTTTGAACAGACAGTGGGAAAATATGTGGAGCCCACTCAGGATTTAAATCAGGAGTGTGTCTTGACAGAACAGGAGTTTTTGACATTAGATCAGGAGTGTGTTTTGACAGAACAGGCCCAACAGGAATATGATTTTTTGGATTTGACAAATGAACTTGGAAAAAGCCATAGCTGGAAAGGAAAAGTTTGGCTTGGTTTGGAAATGGGGGGCTGGATTGACCCCCCTATGCTGGGATGTTTGGACTTTTCAAATATGGCAACGGGCCGTGAGATGTTTGGGACTGTGGGGCTCTCAATTTTGGAGGGCCTTTGAAACATGCTTTTAAATACTACATGGAATTCATTGTTGAACATGGAAAAGGGGCTGATCTGTTGAGAAGGGTTAAAAACATTGTCAAGCTGGAGTTACCACGAGCAGGAGACAAGGGAAAATACAGTTACAAATATGAAGAAGAGCCGCGGAAGGGTCATGGAAGAGACTTGAGGGCCTCGGACATAAGGTTGCCAGGTTAATGGGCTAGATTGACGGGAATAAGGACTGACAAAACCCAGAACCAGGAGGAAGGGACGCTGGATGAAGATTGGATCTGTTTATACCTCTTTTTTCAACCATTAGAACTGTTTTATAAAATTGATGAATGATAGAAAAATGTTGGAATGAAATTACTTGGCTTTAGCAAAGATGTTTAAAGAATTTTGAAAGAATATTATGATTATGAGAAGTTGGTAAGGATAAGATTTAAGTTTTAAGTTTTAAGGTTTATTTTATTATAGAAAGATAAGGTCAAGGATTTGCTGGGATAATTAATAACTAGGATACAAAGAAAGGGAGGAGGAGGAGGTCTAAGAAAGAAGGTAATGACAGTTAAGGATTTGAAAATAATGAATTTGTTTTTAAATGTTTTTAAAGTTTTGTGATTTTTGCATTCTTCTTTTTTTCTTTTTTTCTGTCATTTTTTCTCATTTGGTTTTTTTTTTGTATATGGTGGGAAGGGGTTGGTTTTTTTCTTTTCTTTCTTTTTCTATTTTGTCAATTATTTTTATCCTTTGTACTCTCTTCTGCTTCTATTTTATTTTTTCTCTTTTTTGTAACATTTTGAAAATCTCAATAAATATCTTTTTTTTAAAAAAAATCTCTTCTACTTGACATTTAACTGATAGTTTTCGTTTATTGATTGTGGCAGTTTTAGGCATCAATTTATTTATCTTGTTTTAATGTTTTGTTGTTTAATAGATGTGTTGTTGTTGATATTTTATTCACAGAGTTTTACCCTAGAACTTAGACTGTAAATGCATCAAATAAATAGATACTGAGATGCAACTTGAAATCAAGGCTTTCAGTTCGAAGTCCTTGAAGCACAGTTCAAGGGAGGTACACTGCCATTAGATTACAACTAAATCAGAGCCGAACCTGATGCCCTCCGGAGATCATTAGAATATAAGTTTCATTATCCCCAGAGAGCATGGTGAATGGTTAGGGATGCTGAAAACAGAAGCAGCTCACTGGGTGGGGCAGCCTCCCAATAGTGGGTTGCTATAGAGGTGTTGAGGAGTTCAGTGCAGTGGAAATACATTAGCAGAAGCACCAGATTGGCTCTGCTGGTGCATTTGCACTGCACCAGCCTCCTCTTCATCACCACCCCAGCTCTCTCCCAGTAAGTAACAGCAACCCACTACCTGAGAAGCTACTGTAGTAGCACCACTTCACCTGGCAAACCACTTCCGGCTGTTTAATGCCTGGGATTAAGTCTGAGATGTTCTGCTTGCAAAGCAGTTGCTCTATAACTGAGCTACAGACCTTCACCTAAACCTGCCATTCTCTAGATATCTAACAACTTCTAGAAGAGCAACAGGATTTGGGGTAGAGCATCTCTTAGCACACAGAACATCCCAGGTGTAATCCCTGACATCTCCAAGTAGGAGTGGTAATGTTCCCTGTCTGGAAATCTGGACAGCTGCCAGCTTGTGTTGATAGGACTGTGCTAGATCAATGGTCTGACTTGGTGTAAGGCACTTTCTTATGTCTTCCCTGCTTCCCCTGCCCAGCTGAGATTTTTATCCAGCTTCCATAAGAACATAAGAAGAGCCTGCTATATCAGGACAATGGCACATCTAGTCCACTATCCTGTTCTCACAGTAGCCAACGAGATGAGAAACTAGCAAGCAGGATTCAAGCACAAGAGTACAGTGGATGCTCAGGTTGCGAACGTGATCCATGCAGGAGGCATGTTTGCAACCCACAGTGCTTGCATCCCGCAGCGCCACATCTGCGCACACGCGGATTGCGATTCGGCGCTTCTGCGCATGCACAAGCACCAAAATCTGGAAGTAACCTGCTCCAGTACTTCTGGGTTCGGCGTGGTGTGCAACCCGAAAACGTGCAACCTGAAGCATCTGTAACCCGAGGTATGACTGTACTCTCCCCTCCAGTGGTTTCCTGCAACTGGCATTCAGAAGCTTGCTGCCTCTGTCTGAGATTTTTTCCAGTTACCAAATTTGAAGTGAGGGCTGGGGGTGAGAGAGTAATATTCACCCCTCTTCAGCCACTCCCACCAAACCTCAGACGAAAGTCTGCTCCAGTGCACATAGCCTGCGCCAGCCTTTATTATTCCCATTAATTCAAACCAGTGCTGCCTATTGCAGCCTGCATTAACCTGACAGAGCATCAAAGAAAGTGGCTGGGTGGACTGAGTGGCTTGCAGTGGTTAGACTGAGCTCTTCCTCTGCAATCTCAAGGGGGCAGGATGGATGGCTGTAGAATCCACATTTCCCAGGTTCTCCAGTCGTATTTCACTCTTGGATGGCACTCAAAGATCCTGTGCTGTCACACTGAAGACGATATTTCACAAAACAACTTTTGCTGCAGAAAGAAAAGGGGCTGGGAGCAGAAACAAAAAAAGGTTAGGTCAAAATTATTCAGTCCAAGAGAGTATGATGTCACATAGGATATTACAATCAATCAATCAATCAATCAATCAATCACAACACTAGGAGTTTGGGATCCAAGCCATCTCCATTGTAAGCTAGGGAGTTTTGCCATTGAGCTCAGCAGGAGCAGGATTGCATCCTTGGATTTAATGAATAACCCAACAGATGGGATGTAGGCTGTACACACACACACACACACACACAGAGAGAGAGAGAGAGAGAGAGAGAGAGAGAGAGAGACCTCCTCGTACATCCCATGAAGCACGTCCTTGCATCTTATACATTCTAAGCATTCATTGGGATTAATGAGTCCCTGTCAGTCCTGTATTCTAATTCAGAACGCCCCTCCTTTTTTTTTAAGTAGTGGTGCATAAAATTATCTCCACCATCCTGATAAATCCACTGAAATGTACCCTCTCTGTAGAAAAAACTGCAGAAGAATAAAATGGGTCTCCCCTCGTTCAGAACAGAGAAGCGGGGGGGGGGGCAGGGGGGGGGCTTAGGCAGGTGAGCCGGACCTTTTATCCTCAGCATCAATATGCCTGCTGGATCTTGCCATTCCTCAAATGGAAGGTAGGAAGGCTCTCTCTCTCTCTTCTGTTGAATGGTCCGCATGCAGCTGAGGGAAAGCATTCAGCTGTTGCCTGCGAAAGACCAGGGAATGCTGGGCTATGCTGATGTAACAGGCTCTCTGCAATTTTCATTCAGATGTGGTTGGCTGCAAGCTGGCAGCCAGCCTCAGCTACGCCTCCAACTCAGATGAGGTAATCCCAGCTCCCTTTTTTGGCTACTCCAAGCAGGATCTGCGCTTCCCCAGCTTTCAGGTCAGCTTCCTCCCCTCCCTGAAATTCACCGGACACAGAAAGACCACCCTCTTTCCTTATCCCCCCCTTTCCCTTCCCTATCTCTTGATTGCACATCCCACTATGTTTTTTTGGGAAGGGGAGGGAGGAGCGATCACAGGAAGAAATATACCGCAATGGATTCATACTTTACTCTGGCCTCCAGGTCCGATTTGAACGGGATTTGCGAGTCTCCGGCAAGGATGCACAGTCCCGCTACACCCCCGCAGCCCTAACTAGCGACGGGATAGGAGAAAGTCCACAACACCCTCCCTCCCCCTCCCCCTCCCCCTCCCCCCTCCTTCTGCGAGAAGTCTCAGCTGCTGTGACTGACCTCCTTCCCCAGCTCCTGGTTGTCGAATCGTCTCCCTTCGGAGATGCATCATCTTCGGAGAAGATGGACTGGAACTCTTCTGCTCTTTCCAGCCACCAAGGGATGCTTCTGTTGAGGCGAGCTGGCGCAGAAATCAGGGGTCTGAGCCTCCAGTGCAAAGTGCTGAGAAGAGCAAAGTCTTTGCTCTCAGGATTTTCCGGGTCACTGCTGTCCTCTCGTCAGCATCTGGAGAGCTCTTTGCACGCGATTCTCGTCAACGGGTCTCCAGAGTGCGGCTCCGAGGAATGGACGGCGCGAGGGACTTCAGCACTCTGGACAGCTCCTCCGCCGAACCGCTCCAGAGGCTGAACTAAATGCTGTTGTTCACGTCCAGCTTCCCTTTAAGAAAACTCATCCCCCTACTGAGTATGGGTCCCCCCACCACCAGAGCCTCAAAGAGTTATCCAAGCCTTTTCTTGCTTTTTTCAAAGAAATCTTATGAGATGGCTTGCTTGCTACACATCCCTTGAAGAGCCAAGGTGTTAAGACGTAAACCTCAGGACCCTGGAGAGCTCCCGCAGGTGCCGAAACTTTGGGAACAGAGAAGAGACCCCCAGGAAGCAGTGTGGTGTTGTTGCTTTCTCATTAGCTGAATTTAAAGGCTCTCTGTGTTGCATAGATGAGCTCTTATTTTGTGTGCAATGCCTGTCAGAGAGCTGTTCTAGTCTAGAAACCTGGTGCTAAGCTTCACTTTAAGGTGTTTTATTATTATTATTTTACTCTTTACTAGAGCATCTCCCCGCTCCCAATGTCACTCCACACTTTGAACTTCATTATAAATATTTATACTTTGGCTGAAAGTCTGCTCCGGATTCTTCCCCCCACCCAGCCTTTAATCCTCTCGTCTCCCTTCTGTGGTTCCCCCCATTCTGAGAGATTTAGGACAAGGGTTCATCCACAACGCAAACAATCCAGCCCTTTGGTGCTGTTTGGGATTTGCAGTTAGGAGAGAGGCAGGATGGGGTCTGGCTTGAGCATGCTATACAAACGCTGCCACATCAGTCAGCTGCAGTATTAAAAGAGGAAAGCAAGCAAAAGACTGAATGTCCTGTTCGGAGGTGAAAGGGGAGCATCTTTTCAAAAAAAAATTGGCATCAAAGGGCGGGGGAAGCCCTTCTTGGACATCCCTATCACAACTGACTATTCTTCACACAAGCATTTCTTCCCTGTGCAGCTAAGAGTGAAAGAAAGAAAGAAAGAAAGAAAGAAAGACCCCCATCCCTTTGGGCATTGCCACATCTGGCAGGGATTTAAAGGCTTAAAATCCAGCCTTCGCTGCAATCCACAATGGCAAATGAACCAGTGATTTTGAATGTTTATGACATGGTGAGTAAGAAACAATCTGATGCCTCTGTTGGGGTGGTGGTGGTTGGGGGGGTGGTGAGGAAGACGATTCCAGGATGTTGATTGGACAAGAGATTCTATTATGATGAGCCAAGCAGCACAACTCACAGCACTGGCCGGGCTAGATTTTCACAGCCATTGGTGTGACAGGGATGCTGGCGCCCACACTTGCTTCTTTGCTTTTTCACAGCCTGTCAAAGCAAGCTCAAGGTAAAAAGATGACAGGAAATTTTGGAGGATATTACCTTGGAAAGGCTTTTCATCCTTCCTCTTTAATTTTCAAAAGCCCAACTGGGGATGGGGGGGAGGCAGCGGGAGAGATGTGACAGAATAGCCTGTTTTCATAGCTAGATGCCCTTGACGTTCAAGGCGATTAAACACTCTAGACTAGAGAGGAATGGGGAGAGAGATTTAATATGTCAGACCCTCTTGAAACCTGATCATGTGGGGGGGGAAATACAACAGAGGTCAATGAAGTTTACTCCCATGTAAGTGTGCAGAGGATTGCAGCCTTCATGTTCACATTCCACATTAGGACCTCAGGAGCATGAGTGAAGCCGGTGGGGACACCTTGATCGAATGGGATATATTTGAAGATGAATATTGTCACCAGAGGAATACCCTATTTTAAGTAGCAAAGCCTCTATCACTGGGTCCTCAGGGTTCATCACCTTGTCTCATAACACTAGAACTCATATACATCTAAGGAAGCCAAACAGTACGTGGTTTAACTATGGAACTCACTCCCCCAGGAGGCACTGATGGCCTTTAGATGACTAAAAGAGGATGAGACAAATTCATGGAAGAGAAGGGTATATCAGTGGCTATTAGCCATGATGGCTATGTTCTGCCTCTATGGTCAGAGCCAGTAAAGCTTCTGAATACCAGTTGTCAGGAATTGCAGGAGAGGAGAATGCTCTTGTGCTCAGGTCCTGCTTGCAGGTTTCCCACAGGCATCTAGTTGGCCACTGTGAGAACAGGATGCTGGACTAAATTTGCCATTGCCCTGATTCAGCAGGCTCTTTGCAGGTTTATAATAAAGCACTTTCTCAGCCAGTGATGTCTATGAGAAACACTCTCTTCAGATTTTACCCAGTTGGGGATTTTGAAACTCCCTTTGCTGTTAACTTGGATCTTTTGTTGTTTTTCTGTGCAGTCCTCTCCTGGTGGTGATGGAAATCATTTTGATTAACCCCTATTTTTTAAATGAGATATCAAGGAATAGGGGGTATTTAATGTACGGTTTCTCATGGACTCTCAAGGATGACTTAATATATTTCTCTCTTATAAGAATAGGCTTGGCTGTGGTATATAGCCAGTACCTCTTTGAGTGATGTTTTTCCCTGCATTTTCTAATCCAATTCTCAAATGTTTGTCAGACGTCACAAAACATCATCCAATTTTATTGTCAAATTAGGCCCAGCAGCTGGCTTTTTTTTTTGTAAATGCTCATTTTCACCTCTGAAAAATTTATGAAGGATCTGTTACACTAATGAAAGCTAAATTGTAGCAACAAGTCACAAAGCCCTCATTAAAGAATGATGATAAAAGGTTTTTCAGGAATTCCAATCAGAACAGTCATGTCCAAAGTCCGTTTTGGGGGCTTAATCTGGCCTGCTGGTCAGTTTAATTCGGCCCCTGTGGCAGTTTATTTCCTGGGGTAAAATCCTAAAAAAAGCTGAACAACTTTGAGGTAGAATCATACAAAAAGCTCAACAACTTCAATCCTAAAAAAACGATAACAACTTGGGTTGGCCCTTGGTCAGTCCTCACGGCCCTTCACTTCATCAAATTTGGCCCTCTTTGAAAAAAGTTTGGACACCACTGAATTAGAGTGATTACAATGTGGGCAATTGGTTAGTATTTGATATTAAATAGTTTTCTATTCTGGACTTTAATAATAATAATAAGAATAAGAATAAGAATAAGAATAAGAATAAGAATAAAAAGAAGAAGAAGAAGAAGAAGAAGAAGAAGAAGAAGAAGTTATTTATACCCCACCCATCTGGCTGGGTTTCCACCAGCCATTCTGGGTGGCTCCCAACAGAATATTAAAAACATGATAAAACATCAAACATTAAAAACTTCCCTAAACAGGGCTGCTTTCAGGTGTCTTCTAAAAGTCAGATAGTTGTTTATTTCCTTGACATCTGATGGGAGGGCATTCCACAGGATGGGTGCCACTACCGAGAAGGCCCTCTGCCTCGTTCCCTGTACCCTTACTGCACGCAGTGAGGGAACTGGCAGCACTGGACCTCAGTGTCCGGGCAGAACGATGGGGGTGGAGACGCTTCAGGTATACAGGGCCGAGGCCGTTTAGGGCTTTAAAGGTCAGCACCAACACTTTGAACTGTGCTTGGAAGTGTACTGAGAGCCAAAGTAGGTCTTTCAGGGCCAGTGTTCTGTGGTCTCGGCGGCCACTTTAGTTTGGTTACCATTTCAACATTTTGATAATTTGCATTTTGCAGGCTCTGGTATTTATTTATAATTTACTTATACCCCCCTTTAGCCAATAAACCTCCTAGAACCTCTTAGAACAACTTACAAAAATCACCTCTATGGTGGTCCTTTCCCTCAGGGTGACAATATGAAAACACAGGACACACAAGGGAAAAGAAAGGAAGGAGTGACAAGCAAGCTCAAGAACAGGTTCTTAAAGTTATAGCCTATGGCAGTGGCAGTTCTGGAAGCCTTAACCTTTATAAAGAGCAGTCTCTCCCTGGAAGCTCTCTTCCGCCAGATCTGTTATGTTGCTATAACTGTGTCCACAAAGCCATCTGTAAGGCAGTATTTTGTTTTGAAATTGTTCCAGACATTTAAAGGCTCACCATGTGTTGGGTTTATAAATGGCAGGAGCGTGTGTGTGTGTGTGTGTGTGTGTGTGTGTGTGTGTGTTTATTATCTATATCTATCTGTCTGTCTGTCTATCTATCTATCTATCTATCTAGTGATATTTGGGCTGACACTTCAAAGTGCCCACCTAGCAGGGCACTGAACTCTCTTTAAAAAAATTATTGCAAATATAAGTAAATATTTCTAAAGAAAGCAGTCTTGCTTACTCATCTCTTCTTTTTGTTGGCCATAACCAGAACCAGATAAAAATTCTGTGCCATTTTAATGCATTGTTATTTTCAGGACGTATTTAGGGGCTCCCACCAGACTAACTTGGCCTGAATAGCAGTATGTGTCATGTCAATATCTGTCTGTCTCAATGCTCCCATTGTTTTAAATGTTAGCTTCTCAAATCATGTTGTTTCCCCTTTCTCTTGCATTGTTTGTGCCCTTCCAGTTGGAAACTGCACCCAGAAAGTGTGATTTATTTTCAAGGATTAACTCAAGCCCCATCTCCCATTTTAAGCCAAAGGAACACATTAGGAGCTTCTCGTCTCGATTTTGTAGGAGGTACTTGAAAAATTACTGCAACGAATGCTCTTAAAATATACTTATTTGCAATATTGGTTATTAATAAAGAGATTGATTTATAATTTTTTGTGAAATGAATACAAATCTTACATTTAGTGTTTAGTGAGAAATAAACACTTGTGTACTCAATTAAGTTTGCTCCCTATTAATTGTCTTTAAAAGTGTAGCTTTAGGAAGCTCCTGGGAAGATCAGCTGAGGAGCTGTTGGATCCCATTGATCTCCTCCACGGCAGGAGAGGGAGGTTTATGTACAGAAAAGAGAGGTCTGTTGCTGGGAGTCTCCTGGTGGACAACTTCACTGCCATCACTGTTCCATGGGCAATGGTGGCGGCCAAAACAGGGTGTATCAGAGGAGGCCATGGATCTGCAGGTTCCTAAGTCTCCTTATTTCCATCTCACTCCCCCAAACTGGTCACAAAACTACACCAGTCCTGGAGCTGGCTTAGATTTATTGCATTGTATCCAATGTTAGTCCTGCTCAAAGTAGACCCCTTGAAACTAATAGGCATGGCTGGCTTACATCTGCTCATTTCAGTGGTTAGTTAGATACAGTCCAAAGTGATCAATGGGAGGGTTTTGGGTTTTTTAAACTTGACCACAGCAAAAAAAGAAAGAAGAAGAAGCTACTTTCCTTACCTTGCACCTCATGGGCATGCACTGAACGCTTAATGAGTGGTTGTTTCTCTGCCACAGAATCACCCACCATTCCCATTTCAGGATTGTTCTGCCCAAATGCAGTCCCTAAACAACTTGGGACCAAGTTACCTAAGGGACTGCCTCACTCCACAGATCCCTTCCTTGCAACTGCAATCCTCATGTGGGACACTGCTGAGAGGTCACTTAGTTTGTACTATAAACTGAACTTTTAGTGTTGCAACTCCACCCCTCTACAATCAGTTACCAGCTGAAATTAGACTGGGGCCTAGTATCGTGACGTTTTAGTGGCCACTGAAGATATTTTTGTTTTAGAAGGCTTTTCCTGAAGTATGAGTCATTTTATGGCATATGAATTGCACAATTGTAATAATTTGTGGTTTTTTTCCTTTTTAATAATCTGTATCGTTTATATTTTATCTCTTTTTGTCTTATTGTACACCACTTTAGTAGCTTTTGTGTGGCACAGTTTATAAATCTGTAAAATAAGTAAATAAATCCTATTTATGTGAGTCCCATTAAGTTCAGTGGGGCTTACTCCCATGTATGAGGGTATAGGATTGCAGCCTTAATGTTTAATATAGTAAGAGCAGAATGTGGCTTGCTCTGAATTTTTGTTGCTATTCCTTCCTTAGATTTCTACCCCCTTATTTTTTTTTTATATAAATCAACAGTTAATTGTTCTGGAATTAATAGTATGCTTTCCAGATGGATTCATTTTACTACTAGATTAATTGCTTCTTTGTTTTTTGTTTTTTTACAAAGGTAATGGTTCCCTCAGGTGTGAGACTGGTAGCAGTAGTAGTAAATGCTGAAGCCTAGTTATGTGTTTTGCCTCCAGATTGTTACATCTCAAATAGCAAGGTAACACTGCCCCTTCAACTACAGAACTCCTCAGGGCACCATTTTGTCATGAATGTTATTTAACATCTACAGTATATGAAACCGTTGGGAATGGCCAGTAGGGGTATTGAAGCATGGTGTTGTCCATACTCTGATGACATGCAGCTAAAATCTGATTCAGAGAAACTGGACAAGCTCTGGCTCAGTGCCTTAACAGAGTGGTGGACTGAATGCAATAAACTGAGTTAGAATCTGGGGAAATGGAGGTTCTATGGGTAGGTGGCTCCCACGTGGAGAATATACACCAGTTGCCAGTATGGATGCTTCCTCTAATGGCCTAGGTACGTAGCTTGGAAATGCCAAGTTTCTGATTCAGATCCAAGTTGGTCCAAGTTGATCCAACCCTCTTTCCAGGCAGGATCTGAACTGAATCTTATATTCAGCACATACTCCTATTTGATACACAGTGATCTTGTATCATGGCAGACATATATCTTTGGACTGGGAAAAGCTGTTAAACAACCGTTACAAAACAATAACTGCTTAGTAGTGTAACGGTGACTATTGGAAGCGGGGTGACATCTAGGGATAGCAATTAACGTGAATTTAAAGCTCTGTCTTGCCTGAGAAAGAATATCACTTGACTGTGTAACAGGGGAGCACTTGAGCCACAGGAAAGCATAGCCTAAGGACAAAAGTTCAATTAATGGCCTCTGTGCACATATGAAATAGCCGCTTCATGAAGCCCTGATGTCTTGTCTATTCAAGGATTCTAACTGTTTATCTTCATTGTGCCGGACATATACAAGAATGAAATGCCACATCTTTAATGAAATGTTAACAAATGACACCTATAATATTTTTTTCCTGTCACATCAAGTAAGAACTCACAACCACTCACCTTTCCTTTACTTAAATAGGGCAATGTAGGAGAAGAACATATTAAGTTTCCTGTGCAGAGAAGAAACCTGTGAAGGGTGGGGAACAGGTGATTCATTGGATGGCTAATTGAAATTGTGGGCTTAATAATGGCATTTTTGTCTCCAATTGGATCAACCTGAATCCAAAATTCTCTGAAGATTTCTTTTAATGGTTAACCTGTGGCTGCCGAGACAGAAGGCAAATGAAAAGAAAAATCCCTGGACTCTGAAGGTCTGGTAGCTTCAGTTGCTCCTGCCAGCCCAAGAAAGTAATTCATATCCAGCTAGGGAAGTTTTGGTTTAAAAGAAAGAAATAATTCTCAGCAGTAGGTAGTGTATGGAATAGCAATCAGTTGTCCGTCAGGGAGCTGTCAGGATTCAAGCCTGCCTAAAATAAAGCCTAATTCACAGACCTAAGGGCCTATCTAGTGTAATATGGATAACAGCTATAATAGCAAATAGTGATGGGGCAAATTTGCACTGAGTGGTTGAGGGGGAGAAGATTCAGAATGCAAACTCCCCAAGTTCAAAAAGCCTCTGCCCATTTTTAGCCAGCCCAGCCCCTTTTGAATTTGGATTCACCTCAAAATGTGGTTCCCCACCAGCCATTCATCCTAGATGCTTTCCAAACAAAGCAAATCATCTTCAGTAAGCGGCAGGAGGTAACCAGTAGTGAAGAGGACTTAGCAGTGGAGAGGATTTTTTCCTCCTTCACTGGAAAGGGCACTTCTGAGTGTTGTGTCCAATCAGGGAGAATGGGATTTGTAGTTATAGAGGTTATAGAAAACTGTCCTTTTCCAACAAGTCTTTTAAGTAGAGATCTTTCCTGGTCTGCATCTGTACTTGAATGGTTTTTAGGTGTTTTAAGATGTTTTAATATTTGTGTATTTGCTGCCCTGGGCTCCTTTGGAAGAAAGGACAATATATTTTTATTGGTCAACTGCATATTTGTATTTTAAAATATTTCAGATTTTGAATACTTGACTACTTGCCATGCCTTCTTGTGACTCAAATCATCTCAGTCTAGATTTTAAAAATGCCCTTAGCTTTCAATAAACTCAGATCTAATAGCAGGAATTATTTTGAAGAGCTGCACCTCTTCATGACAATGTCAATCTCTGCTAGCCAGGAATTGTGTGTTGCTTTGGACTTCAAACCAAGTTTGGACAAACCATATATCCTTATAGTAAGTGGTATAACCAGCTTGGTTTGGTGTTTTGTTTAATATGCTACCTTTCAATTAAAACAAAACAAATCTCTTGAGGTGACTTCCAATTAAAATAGACAAAAAACATCATAAAAACACAATCAAATCCAATACTACAGCAGATCAATAAACCAGCAGAAAGCAATGGTAACATTATCATAAAAACTCATAACAATAAAATAGAGAAGTGGCAGTAAAAACCATCAATGATAATTTATGGGCATATTGAAGAGTTTTAACCTGGCACCTATAGCTCATCAGGACTGCCAAGTGAATATCCTTGGGGAGAGTGTTCCACAGTAGGGGCATCACTACAGAAAATTCTTATCCCCAGACTCTACCTTTTCAATCTCCAATGGCAGGGGAACCTAGGTCAGGGCCTCCAAAGATGATATTCAAATAAGGCAAGTTTATATGGCATCAGGCAGTCATTCCTATAAGCAACTGTTTATAGTGAATATGTTTCATACTGGTATATTGTAGAAGTCATATTGTATCTGTAGTTGTGCTTTTTAAAAAAAATCTGATATGTTACTGAGTCACTCTGTGCTCTGTGTTCCCTATTCACTTTTATGAGAAGCTTTAAAATGTTAGACTTTTGGCAAAAGTAGATAAAATTTGCAGACACAGGAGCCATTCTAGAGTGGATTGACGTAGCCTGCCAAATTACAGGCAACTATCTCTGGTGTGGGTGTATGACACCTTTAATTTTTAATTTTGAAAAAACAAAGGAAAAATCTGTGGCTCATTATATTTTCTGCCAGAATTGCACTGAAACTCCAAAATTCATATTGGTTTTGTATTTTTGAGAGGTGGGTGTCTTTTGAGGGGTTTGCCTCTTACTCTTTCTTACCTTAAAACAATTAAGAGGTGTTTGAGTGGTTGTATACTTTTAAAAACATTAGCAGCTTCACTCTAGCTGGCTTAGCTTTCTGGTATCCTCCAATATGAAGGATCAATGGAAAAGTAACACACAGTGATTTTATGACCTACTTTAATTTCTTTTCCTGGCACAACACATGAGTGATTTGCTCATTGATCAGGACTCACTGAACCACCTACAATATAATTAGCATGAGCAAACAACAACGGCCATTGAATTGCACTGATGATGCTCAGTTGGGGGTAAACCTGAGTTCTGGAGTGTGCCACTTTGAATGGCAGGATAGTGTTCACATGACTGAAAGGAGAGAAAAGCTCTGCACAAAGGAAACATAACTCTCAAGGAGACAGAGTTTAGTCCACAGTTTACCTTACTATGTTTCTCAGCATGCGCACGTGCGCACACACACGCACACACACACACACACACACACACACACACACTAAGTCATGTGAGCCCCATCCTGTGGTCCAAAGTGGAAGGTTTACCAGATCATCCACTGTGCGGGGAATTTAGTCTGTAATCTCCAGGACATTTTGGGTAAGTCATTGCTGGAGGAGGGAGGAAGGCAAGAGAGAATTCTAATTGTATGAGAGACTCAGGGATGTCAAATAAAGAGTCACAGAATCATAGAGTTTGAAGGGATCCTCAGGATCATCTAGTCCAACCCCCTGCAATGCAGGGATACACAACTCTTCCATACAGGGATCAAACCTGCAACCTTGGCATTATCAGCGCCATGCTTTAACCAACTGAGCTATCCAAGTGTGAAGTTAGGCCTCCACAAAGTGAATGTGGGACCTATGACTGTTTAACTAATTTAGGGTTGTAATTTGGGTTCCTAATATGACAGTGTGGTTGTTATGCTGCCAGAACCAGGAACGTTAAGTTTTAAATCTGATTCTGAAAAGCACTATTCATTCCAGTGGATTGTATGCTGGCCCAATCATGCCCTTCTTCAAAAGACCCCATTTAAGCCATGTGAGATTCAGTCCTTGGCATCTCCAGGTGGAGCTGGAAAGACCCCTGCTGCAAACTCTGGAGATCCATGGCTGGTCAACTGAGACTGTATTGAGCTGGAGAGCTCTGCTGCTCCAGAGAAGTGGACACGGAGCAATGGATCCAAACTACAAGAAAGAAGATTCCACCTAAACATTAGGAAGAACTTCCTGACAGTAAGAGCTGTTCGACAGTGGAATTTGCTGCCAAGGAGTGTGGTGGAGTCTCCTTCTTTGGAGGTCTTTAAGCAGAGGCTTGACAACCATATGTCAGGAGTGCTCTGATGGTGTTTCCTGCTTGGCAGGGGGTTGGACTCGATGGCCTTTGTGGTCTCTTCCAACTCTATGGTTCTATGATTCTATGATTCTAGATGGACCAGTGGCCTGACTCTTTGTAGGCATCTTCCTATGTTCCTATCTTGAAGTCATCACATGACAAAGAGTCCTTGGTGATGGGTGTTGAGCTGCAACACTAGGAAGGTGAAATGGCTAAAGCTTCAACTGATGTTTGTGTTGCCCTCAAATGGATCAATCCTACCTTTTCTGGGAATTGACAGCCCCATGAGACTAAAAACAAATCTACAATATCTTCCTCCAAATAACATTTTCCCCAGGGGTATGTTCAGCTTTTGGCTTTGCACAGCCCATGCTCTTGACTGCAGTGCCATCAGCCCATCGGTCATGGCATGGGATTGTTATGGACACCCATTAGCCTAGAGCTGGCAGGTTTCCCTCTGGTCATTGCTTGGGGAATAACATTAAGCCAAACTTGTTTCGGCTGCTAAGGGCAAAGCAGCCAAAGGGCACCCTAATCCACTTTAAGACAAATGGGGGTAATGCTAAATCACAAGCATTTTGGAAGTCGCAGTCACCACCCATCTCTAATTACTAGATAAATCACTACTGAGAACAAACTATGACACTATTCCCCTCCCTCCCCCAAAATAAAAAACTGATTAATAAATACGGAAAGGAACTGGAAGATTCTCACTGAAGATGACGCTGGTGTGTCGTTAGTATGTTTCAAACGTGGGGAGATAGCGAGATATAAATGCAATCCTTGCTGGATTTAATGAGCTACATTGCGTGGGTGGCTGCATAATACCATCCAGAGCCTCTTCTGTCACTGATGGAGAGATTATGCTTAGCAACATCGCCTGGCAACCAATCACAGCGTCATGCGTTGCAGGAATATCACTTCTGCTAAAAGAGAATTAGATATTACGGTCATTTGCAGCGTAGTGTACTGTGGGCCACTTTAGAGTATAGGACCCCCAGGCTTGCTGTCTCAGTCTATGCAAGCATGAATTGCTTTGCCTGCTTGGGTGGTGGCCAGACAAATGCGTAGACATGTAGCAATGTACATGGTTATCCTTCAAGAAGCTGCACACTGCTCCTTGATTTGCTTTTTCTTTTGTAAGTAAAGAAGCATTTTCTGCCTATGTATAGAGGTATATACAGTGGTACCTCAGGTTAAGTATTTAATTCGTTCTGGAGGTCTGTTCTTAACCTGAAACTGTTCTTAACCTGAAGCACCACTTTAGCTAATGGGGCCTCCTGCTGCTGCCGCGCCGCCGGAGCCCGATTTCTGTTCTTATCCTGAAGCAAAGTTCTTAACCTGAGATACTATTTCTGGGTTAGCGGAGTTTGTAACCTGAAGCGTCTGTAACCTGAAGTACCACTGTACCTCATAGGGTAAAACACTTATATATAAAAGCTAACCTCTGTTGCTTACACATATGCAGGACCGGCCCTACTGTTAGGAAGAGTGGGGAGATTGCCTCAGGCAATCGATGTGAGGGGCAGCCCAGCTGTTCCCCCCTGCTAGATGTCATACCAGTGTGGATCATGCACCTTGCTCTTCACTCGCCAGAACTAGTCTGCTGCCCTCTGGTATGGAGAAAGATACCATCCAGGCCAAGTTTAAAGTCAGATTCAACTGAACAACTCATCTTCGCCTTGGGCAACGAAATGTTTTAGGTTAGCCCTGTAGAGAGGTAGACATCTGTTTGTATCCCAGTTGTATGTTTGGATGTAATGATTTGAATGGGGCCGAAATGCACAACAACTGCAAGTTTTATTGGATGGAACTACTGTAATTATCCTGACCCATCCCCATCCGGGTTCAGGCCTGGCTATGGGACTAAATCAGCCTTGGTCGCCCTGATAGATGGCCTTTATCAGGAGAAGGAGAGGGTGTGTGAAACCCTGTTAGTCTTTCTTGATCTCTCGTGACTTTTGATACCATTGACCATGATCTCCTCCTGGTGAGATTGGTATTGGAAGCACTTAAAAAAAATAATCACTTTAGTTCCAATCCTATCTCCACGGTCAGTTGCAGGGAAGAGCATTGGGTGGTTTTATTTTGGCTTCCTGAGAGTTGTGCTGTGAGGAGCACAGGGTACCATCTTGCTTCCAGTGTTGTTTAACATCATTAGGAGATTTGAGGTGAGGCGTCATCAGTGTGCTGATGGCACTTAAATCTATTTCTCTGTGACATCCAATTCAGGAGAGGCTGTGCAAGCCCTGGACTGGTGCCTGGACTCAGTGGTGGCTGGATGAGGGCCAAGAAAGTGTCTCTGAATCTTGGCAAGACAGAGGCTCTCTGAGTAGGTGGTTTCTGAGTCCATATAGTTGGCAATTGCCTGAAGGATCAGGTTCATAGTATAGCTTCATAGAATAGGTGTGCTTTGGGAGCCACCTCTGTCGTTAAAAATCCAAGTGACCTCAAAAGCTAGGAGCGACTTTTACCAGCTTTGGAATAAAATTCAAAATGTACACTGATTTACTATCTGTTCCCTTAGTATTTTATTATTTCTTTTTATTCTAAGCTAGTCAGCCAAAAAAGCCCTCAGTGGACTAATGACCAATAACTAAAATTACATACAAAATTACAAATAACTGGGGCATGGAGAATCACAACAGCAATATTAGCAATTTAACAAAATGCTTTCCTGAATGCGTACTATACTTATTTCAGATTTTCCAAATGTAAAGAAATGTTCAAAAAAGAAAGCAAGTGGATGGCGTCTAGCTCTAGACAGTGATTACACTCATTTCCCAGACTATTTTTCTGCTGTTATCTGAGCAAAATCACTATGTGATGTGCAGAAACGGAGATAAAATAAGATCTCACAAATAGGATCAGCACCCACAAATTACTATATTTCTTCTTCTTGGGGACTTTTGAAAAAGTGCAGCAATTCTGGGCCTCCCACAAATATCAGAACAATTTCTGTGGATGCTTCTCCTGCAAATGTAGTGATAGCAACCAACCTGAAGGGCTTTAAAAGAGGATTAGACAAATTCATAGAGGATGAAACTATTGGTTTCAAACTAGCCATAAGAGCAATGTTCACCTCCACCATCGGAGGCAGTTTGCTTTTGTGTACCTGTTGCTGAAAATCACAAATGGAGAGAGTGCTCTCATGCTCAGGTCATCTTTCCATGTTCATTGCCAGCTTTCTGTAGGCATCTGGCTGTCATCATCCTCATCCTCATCATCCTCATAGCAGTGGTTGGCCACTGTGAGAACAAGATGCTGGACTAGATGAGTGTTTGGTCCAATTTAGCAGGGCACTTCTTATGTTCTAAACACTTTGCTTCTCCAAAGACAAGCACCTTAAAAGAGGGAATGCTTTATACACCCACTAATAAAAGGTCGATGTATCACTTACATCTGAAATATACAAAAACAGGTGTAAGCACCTTGAATTCCCTTTAGCAGAAAAGGTAGGCTATAAATATTGTTATTGATAATAGGCCCTAACAATAAAGCAACAATAGCAGCAAAGTACCTATAACTGGTCAATTAATTAGAGGCAGTTAAAAGAGGAAACACTTTGGAAGCCAAGCTGGGGGGGGGGGAGTCTTGAGGTTCAGGAAACCCTGTACAGGTACGGATTGATTGTGGGGTTTGGGTGGGAGGGTGGGTGGGTGTAAAAAACTGTGCTTTATTTTTGAAACTTTAAAAATTGGAGGGGGGGAATAACTGGGTGGGAAATCTAAAGAGTCCTGCCTTAGAGGTTTATGCTCTACAGGCAATGTGGAGAAAGGGAACTGGGAGCAATAGGGAGCTTAATTAATCAGTTAAAAGGGACTTTCCAGAACGGCTACAATCTTGTATAAATTTAGGCTGCTGAAATCCTATAGAAGCCAAAGTAGCCTGCATCATTGCAAAATCTGCTTCTTTATCCCTAAGATGAGTAGGTGCAGAAGGGGATGGCACCCCACCCCCCCACCTTCCATAGTTGTACAGAAGAAGGCATTGCAGCAATCTACACCACCTGAAATGCCCCCCTCTGCGCAACTATTCAAAGCAGAGCAGCCCTGCATTTTTATTTTTATTTTTTGCATCTGGCTACCTATAGAGCCAATTAGACAGGGTAGCACTGTGCTAGATGATGTGCAGAACGCAGAGGTGTCATGGCCCCTGCACGTTCCTGCATCTTTTGAACCCCCTGTGTCTCTGGTGAAAGTAGAAGGCTTGTTAGTTTGTGGAAGACAAATGGCCTTTGATATTGTTTCTTCCAAGTCTGCAGGTAAATAAAGCCCATATTCTGTCCTTTGCAGGTAGCTCATAGACTCATAGAATAGTAGAGTTGAAAGGAACCCTGAGGGTCATCTAATACGACCCCCTGCGATGCAGGAATCTCAACTAAAGCACCAATAACAGGTGGCCATCCAGCCTCTGCTTGAAAATATCCAAAGAAGTCTTCTGTAGTAGTTTGGAATTCCCAGTAGGAAACCACTGCTGTTGGTTGCAAGCTACTTTC